ACTGGTTGTCTATTTTACACATGGTGATGTAAGTTTCCATGTTACAATCTCCATACATCCCAGTCTCTCCTTCCTTCCCTCCCCTGCCGTGTCCGTGAAGTCTGTTCTGGATGATGTCTGTCTCTATTGCTGCCCTGCAAATAATTTCATCAGTACCCTCTATCTAGACTCCATATACATGCTTTAGTATACAGTATTTGTTTTTCTCTTTCTGACTTACTTCACTCTGTATAACAGGCTCTAGGTTCACCTACCTTATTAGAATTGACTCAAATGTGTTCCTTTTAATGTGTTCCTGAGTAATATTTCATTTATATATGTATACCACAGCTTCTTTATCCATTCATCTGTTGATAGACATCTAGTTGCTTCCATGTCCTAGCTACTGTAAATAGTGTTGCGGTGGACACTGGGTTACATGTGTTGTTTTCAAGTTTGATTTCCTCAGGTCATATGGTGGTTTTATTCCTAGATTTTTAAGGAATCTCCATACCGTCTTCCATAGTGACTGCATCAATTTACATTCCCACCAACAGTGCAAGAGGGTTCCCTTCCCTTTTCTCCACACCCTCCCCAGCATTTATTGTAGACTTTTTGACGATGGCCATTCTGACTAGTGTGAAGAGATACATCACGTATTTTCTATTTGCATTTCTCTAATAATGAGTGATGTTGAGCATCTTTTCATGTGTTTATTAGCCATCTGTATGTCTTCTTTGGAGAAATGTCTGTTTATGCCTTTTTCCGACTTTCTGATTCGGTTGATTATTTTTCTGGTATCAAATTGTATGAGCTGCTTGTATATTTTGGAAGTTAATCCCTTGTCAGTTGTTTCATTTGCTATTATTTTCTTCCATTCTGAGGGTTGTCTTTTCACCTTGTTTACAGTTTCCTTTGTTGTGTAAAATCTTTTAAGTTTAATTAGGTCCTATTTGTTTATTTTTGTTTTTATTTCCATTAGTCTAGGAGGTGGGTCATAAAGGATCTGGCTATGATTTATGTCATAAAGGGTTCTGCCTATGTTTTCCTCTGAGAGTTTTATAGTTTCTGGTCTTACATTTAGGTTTTTAATCCATTTTGAGTTTATCTCTGTATATGGTGTTAGGTGGTGTTCTAATTTCATTCTTTCACATGTAGCTGTCCAGTTTTCCCAGCACCACTTATACTGTCACAAAATTCCTAGACCTAATCAGTGAATTTAACAAAGTCTCAGAATACAAAATCAATAAACAGAAATCACTTGCATTCCTATATACTAACAATGAAAACTCGCAGAAAGAGAAGTTAAGGAATCAATCCCACTCACTACTGCAACAAAAAAAATAAAGCATCTAGTAATAAACCTGCCTAAGAAGACAAAGGAGCTGTATGCAGAAAGCTATAAGACACTGATGAAAGAAATCAAAGGCGACATAAACAGATGAAGAGGTACTCTGTGTTCCTGGGTTGGAAGAAACGATATTATGAAAATGACTATACTCCCAAATGTGATCTACAGATTCAGTGTGATCCCTATCAAATTACCAATGCCATTTTTCGCAGAATTAGAACAAAAAGTTCCACATTTCATGTGGACACACTAATTATTAACTCTAATTTTGTTATATACATTTATTAACAAAAAGCAACAAATGCATTTATAGACGGCATATTTGCCACATCAGGAGACTTCCACATATATTCTCACACAAATACCAGAATGGGGCAATTATAAAACCTTTTTCATTTAAAAAAATATATATATATATATTTATTTATTTGTCTGTGCCTGGTCTCTTAGTTGCAGCCAGGTGGGATCTAGTGCCCTGACCAGGGATTGAACCCAGGCCCCTGCATTGGGAGCATGGAGTCTTAGCCACTGGACCACCAGGGAAGTCCCCAATCTTTCTCTTAAAGATAACGACAACCATATCAGAAAGAAGATTTAATTAGATTTTAATGTATCATGCAACTGCTCAGATTGGCTAAAATTAGAAACCTGGACTCGACATGGGATGTAATTTCATTTTGCTAAATGACTTTTCTCCACCAACCTTTCTCCCCACAGCCACAGATGAGAGCATCAGCAGCTATTTAGATTGATGTTACTTGTATGATCTAAAACAAAACTAACAATTTTAATTTCCATGAGATAAGACCTACACTATTTATTAGGTTCAAGGAGATAAAATTATTCTGTCAAACTGCCATGATGTTTCTAAAAGTCCACTCCACTTTTGTGCTGTTTCTTGAGAAGCACCCATACAAAGGATAGCTATTCTGTTTCCACTTAAGCAGAAGCTTGTATGCTTTACTGGAGAAAACACAGAAAGACAAAGTCCGAGCTAGAAGGGCTCAGGAGTCACAGGGCAGGTCACGCTGACAGGGCCATGGTATCTCTAACTCTGCCACGATGACGACAGATAATGGCAACAAGCGCAGTGCTAACCATATACTCAATGTTTATCTCCTACTGAACACTATGAGTTTTATATATGATGATTTAATTTTCACAGGCACTCCATGAAGTATGTACCACTATTTTTCATCTCTATTTCACAGATGAAGAAACCAAGGCTCAGAGTGGTTAAATAAGTCTGTATCATTTCAAAGCCTATGCTTCTAACTGCCATTTTATATTACACATATTATATTGCACATAGTATCCTTTGTGCCCATTCTAACAGTCATCAGTAGGAAATATACAGATGAGTGGTATAGCTTAGGGTAGCATAAAGACATAGGGAAACTCAACCACATTGCCTCACCAGAAGAAATTAGGAAATCAAATTTAATAAGTGATACAAGTAAGTAAAATCCTTGCACTACAAAATGTAATACAGAACAATTAAGAGAATCAGTGATTTCTCTAAGGATGAAAAATTGTTTATTTTTAAATAATACATCTATACAAAAATAAAGGGATAACTTTGTCATCTATGGTTACTGCAAGCCCTGGATTTGTTAGTACAGCTAAAGAGTGAAGTTAAAAAGATTAAGAGTAATTATGTCAGGGATCACAGAATTTTATTGGGAAGGTGCTGGTTGGATGTGAAAGAAGTTCTATGAATCATTATGAACAGAAAGTAGATGGGGACTAATGTCTGATAAGGAAACCAGAACACACTGGCTGAAAATCACCGTACCCAGGTCCATGGCACGACCACCACAGTCTAAAGCGCCAGCTCGGCCAGAGAGGTAGCAAATAGAGAGCACTTCAAGGAAGTGACAACAGTGTCCAGCATTAGTTTCTTTCTCCAACATTCAAGACAAATTTCTAGACCAGAAAACAATTTTTGAGGCTATAAAATGATCTTCTGCATTTCAATAAACCAGTTCTTTGAGCGCACTGCTGTAGTTTAGTTGCTAATTTGTGTCTGACTCTTTTGTGAGCCCAGGGACTATAGCCCTCCAGGCTCCTCTGTCCATGGGATTTTCCAGGCAAGAACACTGGAAGGGGTACATAGTTGAAAAGAGTATAGAATTTGCCTCCTGATCTGGCCACTTGGTATTTTACAACAGATTTTTATTCTATAATCACACATATATTAGCCAGACTGAAAAGTGTGATAAATGCCAGTCTGATGATAACCTACAGTGCTGCCCAAGACCCATGTTTCCCACAACTTCCTCCCTTCCACTGGGAATGATGGAGCAACTCTCCACAATGAAGTCAAGCTTAAGTCACAAAACTGCAAACAGGTATCATGAAAACAGGAGAGCAGAGGTTGTCAATTAGAGTTCAGGGCTTCAAGAGGAGAACACCTAAGTAGTAGTTATTAGTGACAGACTGTAACATGAGGAAATAAAGAAAACACTCACTGACATGCTTTCCTTTGGTCTAAATAAATGGCTTCTGCTCTGGTTCAAAACCTATGACTTGAGGTTCTTCCTAATTGAAATAATGAACTCATATTCCTTGAGAACCTATTATGTATATCTCATAAAACCTTCTCAATTTTCCATATTCTATATAGTTGAAAGATGTGATTTGCAAGAAACATCTACCAAGGGAATGCCCAACACTAGATATGAATGCCATATCATTTCAATTTAAAGGATCCTTTTGTTGTCTCTAGCACTACACAACTAATTCATATTTATTAAAATTGCTAATTTGCATACTCACATTATAAGTTACTAAATGCATACACACACACACACACACACACACACTCTCATATACATCTAAGGGTGACTGGTGACTGGCTCCATATTCTCCTGCTACAGAATGTTACTGTAAAAGATGTAAAATCTGGCTAAAGAAGATTAATATATTATTTTTACTGTGAGAGACATTTATCTTACTTTTAGAAATGCACTCCAAAGGGTAGAGCAGATAAGCACATTATAAAGCGGAAAGAACACGAATATATTACAGGATTGCCTGGGTACTGGGCTGCTTCACATGTATATAATCTGTGTGACTCTGCACTTCTCAGAAGGCTTGGTTTAATGATCTGCTGTTGCCATCTTGAAGTTCCCACTCATTTTTTTTAAAGAGCCATATATTTTTATTTTGCACTGGGCTTTGCAGGTTATAGATCCAATTTCACCTGGACTGAATTAGGATTCACTGTTCAGTGTGTGTAAGGTTACTGCAAACCTCAGGCTTCATGGTGGCTCAGATGGTAAAGAATCTGCCTGCAATGCGGGAGGGCCAGGTTCCATCCCTGGGATGAGGGAACGGCAACCCACTTCAGTATTCTTGCCTCAAGAATTCCATGGACAGAGGAGTCTGGTGGGCTATAGTCCATGGGGTTGCAAAGTGTCGGACATGACTGAGTGACTTACACTTTCACCGTACATCTCAGCTTCTTCCTTTGTGACAAAGGGGAGATATGAGATGAGAGGTGACCTATGAAAGCGGTGAGCACGGAGTCTGGCTCGCAGAACACAAAGGAGATATGAAAGGAAACACAGCCGGGACAGCTCGCAGTCTTGCTTCTATGAATCCAAAACATACAGAAACCACCATAAATCAAACTTTGGTGCTGCTGCAATTTAAATTGAATACTTACAACCCATATATCTGTGGTGCAATTTCTAGTCTGTTCAGGTGCATGTAAAGCTCAATATCATGCTTCTTCAGTAGCTGATCCTGGATCTGGTTGACTTTAGTAACAATAGCAATTGTTGGCCCCAAATCCTGTGGTCTAGCAAAGGGGATAGGAGGCATCAGGGTTTCTTTCCCCTAAACACAGGAAAAATGGAACAGGCATTATTTCAGGGTGAAATTAACAAATGTAAGGCCATGATTCTTGAAAGTATTATCAATGGAAGTTTAAAGTAGAACCAACTACTACTTCAACCAACTCAGGACAAACACTTAAAATGTGGAGTAATAAACTGATTGCCACATAAATGACGGTGTTCATAAAGTAAAGGCCAGGAAAAACCTAAAATATGTTCTAATTGGGTTCCCTTGAACAGTTTCTTTGGTGACATTCAGTCTTTTAAGACAATTTTGGCTACAGGAGTCAATCTAGTCTCTCTGTCTGTGGCCAGCGTGTCTCAGCAGCCACATTACCTAAGTGAACACTCTGAGGAAAACATGCTCCTTGTGGCATAAGAATTAAATGCGGGAAAAAAAAAAAAGAGTAATTGAAAACTGTCTTACTTTTGAGTTATTAAAACAATTTTTAAAAAGTCAAGAAATAAAGTACACTAATACTAGAAAAGAAGGCTTTCTCTGAATGTCCTTTGATCAATTTAAATAGCTGGGCAGACAGTAATCTGTGACAACCTAGAGGATGGGAAGGGGTGATGGGTGAGGGGAGGAGAGTCACGGTGGAGGGGGCATGTATATGTTTTTGTATGGCAGAGACCGGCACAACATTGTAGGGTAGTTACCCTTCAGTTAAAAATAAATTCAAAAAATAAAACTTAAATCTCAAAAAAAAACACACAAAAAAACAGCTAGGTAGGAAGATTTTTAAATTCTCCAAACCAAAAGTGTAGCCGACTTAAACAAAAAATCTACACGGGCAGGACGACTTCCCTTCCTGCCACCCCATACCCTGTACCAGGAAAGACAGATCTCTAACTCCGTGCAGTGCTTTCATGAAAACTTTAGCTTCCCCCTCAAGTTTGATGATCAGTTCACTTCAGTTCAGTCATTCAGCCATGTCTGACTCTTTGTGACCCCATGGACTGCAGAACACCAGGTCACCCTACCATCACTAACTCCCAGAATTTGCTCAAACTCATGGCACTGAGCTGGTAGGGCCATCCAATCATCTCTTTCTCTGTTGTTGCCTTTGCATGCCCTCAATCTTTCCCAGCATCAGGTACTTTTCCAGTGAGTGAGCTCTTCGTATCAGGTGGCCGAAGTATTGGAGTTTCAGCTTCAGCATCAGTCCTTCCAATGAATATTCAGGACTGATTTCCTGTAGATATGACTGATTTGACCTCACTGCTGTCCAAAGGACTCTCAAGAGTCTTCTTCAACACCACAGTTCAAAAGCATCAATTTTTCAGCAATCAGCTTTCTTTATGGTCCAACTCTCACGTCCATACATGACTACTGGAAAAAACATAGCTTTGACTAGATGGAGTAATGTCTCTGCTATTTAATATGCTGTCTAGGTTTGTCATAGCTTGGCTTCCAAGGAACTAATTTTAATTTTAATTTTATGGCTGTAGTCACCATCTGCAGTGATCTTGGAGCCCCAAAAAATAAACTCTGTTTCCACTGCTTCCCCATCTATTTGCCATGAAGCAATGGGACCAGATGCCACAATTTTAGCTTTTTGAATGCTGAATTTTAAGCCAACTTTTTCACTCTCCTCTTTTACTTTCATCAAGAGACCCCTTAGTTCCTCTTCACTTTCTGTCATAAGGGTGGTGTCATCTGCATAGCTGACTGCAATCTTGATTCCAGCTTGTGCTTCATCCAGTCTGGCATTTCGCATGATGCACTCTGCAGAGAAGTTAAATACGTAGGGTGACGATATACAGCCTTGATGTACTCCTTTCCCGATTTGGAACCAGTCCCTTGTTCCATGTCCTGTTCTACCTATTGCTTCTTGCTTTACATACAGATTTCTCAGGAGGCAGGTAAGGAGGTCTTGTATTCTCATCTTTTTAGGAATTTTCCACAGTTTGACGTGATCACATAGTCAAAGGCTGTAGCGAAGTCAATGAAGCAGAAGTAGATATTTCACTGGAATTCTCTTGCTTTGTCTATGATTCAACGATGTTGGCAATTTGATCTCTGGTTCCTCTGCCTTTTCTAAATCCAGCTTGAAAAGTTGGAAGTTCTGGAAGTTCTCAGTTCACATACTGTTGAAGCCAAGCTTGAAGAAGTTTGAGCATTACTTTGCTAGCATGTAGGTGACTACAACTGTGTGGTAGTTTGAACATTCTTTTGCATTGTCCTTCTTTGGGATTGGAATGAAAACTGACCTTTTTCAGGCTTGTGGCTTTCTGAATTTTCCCAAATTGCTGGCATATTGAGTGCAGTACTTTCACAGCATAATTTTTAGAATTTGAAATAGCTCAACTGGAATTCCATCACCTCCACTAGCTTTGTTTGTATAGTGATGCTTTCTAAGGCCCACTCGATTTGTCACTCCAGGATGTCTGGCTCTAGGTGAGTGAGCACACCATCATGGTCATCTGGGTCATGAAGATCTTTCTTGAATAATTCTTCTGTGTATTCTTGCCACCTCTTCTTATCTTCTGCTTCTGTTAGGTCTATGCCGTTTCTGTCCTTTATTGTGCCCATCTTTGCATGAAATGTTTCCTAGGCATCTCTAATTTTCTTGAAGAGACCTCTAGTCTTTCTGATTCTATTGTTTTCCTCTATTACTTGGCATTGATCACTGAGGAAGACTTTCTTAATTATCCTTGCTATTCTTTGGAACTCTGCATTCAGATGGGTATATCTTTCCTTTTCTCCTTTGCCTTTAGCTTCTCTTCTTTTCTCAGCTATTTGTAAGGCCTCCTCAAGACAACAAATTTGCCTATTTGTGTTTCTTTTTCTTGGGGATGGGTTTGATCACTGCCTCCTGTACAATGTTAAAAACCTGTACAATGTTAAAAATGTCTCCAGCAATGGCAGGCGGGTTCTTCACCCCTACTGGCACCTGGGAAGTCCAGATGCCTCATCAGTGGTCCACAAACCAAAAAACCCATCAGTTTGAGGGGTCGTCTTCTCTTTTTCTATGAAACAATGAACCATTTCTGAGAGAAAAAGTGTGCTTTATATGACAACCAGCAATGACCAGCTCAATGGATGGGCCGAGAAGAAGCTCCAAACACTTTCCAAAACCAAACTTGAACCAAAAAAAGGTCATGGTCACTGTTTGGTGGTCTGCTGCCAGTCTGATCCACTACAACTCTCTGAATTCTGGCGCAACCATTATATCTGAGAAGTATGCTCAGCAAATCAATGAAATGCACCAAAAATTGCAACGCCTGCAGCCAGTATTGGTCAACAGAAAGGGCCCAATTCTTCTCCATGACCATGCTCAACCACATGCCACAACAGAGCTTCAAAAGTGGAACGAATTGGACTATGAAATTCTGCCTCACCCGCGATATTCACCTGACCTCTCACCAATGGACTACCACTTCAGCAACCATCTCAACAATTCTTTGCAAGGAAAATGCTTCCACAACCAGCAGAAGGCAGAAAATGCTTTCCAAGAATTTGTTGAATCCCAAGGTGTGCATTTTTATGTTACATAAATAAACAAACATTTCTTGTTGGCAAAGATGTGTTGATTGTAATGGTCCCTATTTTGATGAATAAAGTTGTGTTTGACCCTAATTATAATGATTTAAAATTCCCAGTTAGAAACCGCAATTATAGTTGCACCAACCTAATATAATAAAATCTCTTAAATTTAAAAAACTTGAAAGCAATCTCTCTGGTTATTTAAATGCTAAACAGCATAGCATATCTAATAGGAAAATTAAAACAAGAGAGTTAATGTAAAACACTTATCTTCAGGATTTCTTACGATAAAGAATGCTACCTACATTTAACATAAAGCTGCGATTGTCTCATTTCATTTGATGAGACAAACACAACTACCAATAAAACTACAGAACTTTTCTAACCACTTATTAGTGGCATGCAAAGTGTGTTTTACAGATCATGCCAGGCCACAAAGTAAGTAATTACGGTGAGATAATGATTTCATACCACTATGTAAACCAACACATTGCTTCCTTCATCACGAAAGGCTTATAAAAGGTACGTCACTGAACGATGCAGCATGCAAAGTGATATAACTGAATTTTCCATGGAATTAGAAGACCTGAAAGAGGGATATATTAATTTCTAAACTTTCTTCTTTAAAAGATGACAGAATCATGAAATAGAAGACAAAGGGTAGGGTGAAAAAGGGATTCACTAGATATGCTTTTCAGGAACACATGATGCACTGATACACACAAGTAACTGATACAAATTCCCAGAGGTCACATCTATGTGTTCTCTGAGTTTGTCTTTGTGTAGTCTTAGCCATTTTCATATGATTCAGTGAAAGCAATGTGGATAAGTAAAAGTAAGAACTGGCAGCCCTCACAGTTTATCATTCAGTGTCTCAGATACTCTGAATCAGTTATAAAACACAAAATGACCACTGTGTAAAATGATCATGAGGCCTATAATTAATTGTATTCAAATACTCTGCTCAAAATCTGACGTTCACATAAGTCTATGTCTTCAGCAAATCACCTGCTGAAAATATACTGTTCATCACATGTGCTGTATTACAGCACGCTTCCCCTCTAATAATCCTTACAGAACAGAGCATGGTGATATATTGCTGGAGGAAGACTTCATCACTTAGGCTAGGACTTGACAAACTTTCTCTGCAAAAACTGTAAATATTTGACGCTTTCCAAGCCACACAGTCCGGGCTGCCATCACCCACCTCTGCCTTTGTAATGAGAAAGGAGCTGAAGACAGAAAGTAAACAAACAGGCATGGCTGTATCCCAACAAAACTTTCTTTATGGACATGGAAATTCGAGTTCCATGTAATTCACATGTCACAAAATATTATTTCTCTTTTGATTATTTTTTCAATCATTTAATAATGTAAAAGCCATTTTTAACTCACAAGCTGTACAAAAACAGATGGCAGGCCAAACTGGCCTGCAGGCACTAGTTCATCCTGACCTCGACCAAAGGCATAAAAAGCATTAGTTATCCATTTCATTGGCTAAGAGATAAAGCGAAAGAACTGAGTAATACATGGTTTCTAACCAGAACACATTCAATTATACAAACATAAAAAAAATTAGTCATATAGAAAATAATATACCCAAAACTCTTAACAAAACAGACCTTGTCAGAATAATTTGCAATTTTCCCAATATTGTGCAATAAAAATGAAAAGGCCAGAATGATCCATAAGTTAGCATATATGTTTGTTTAAAATGACAGTTAATTTGGCAATTCCACTCCCAGAGGTATGCCAAGAGAAATGAAAACATATGTTCACAAAAAGTTTGTACACAAATGTTCAGAGCAACATCATTTTTAATAGTTAAAAAGTGAAGAGAACCCAAATGTCTACCAACCGACGTATCGAAAAATAAAATGTGACAAATATGTATGCAAGGAAACATTACTCAGCCATGAAAAGGGATGAAATACTGATACACGCTATGTCCTGAGTAGTGAAAACACTACGCTAGGTCAAAACAGGCAATCACAAAGGTCACATATTGTAAAATTTCATTTACATGCAAGGTCCAGAAGAGCAAGTTCAAAGAAACAGAGGCTAGATTAGCGATGCCAGAGGTTCTCGGGAGGGGGAAATGAGGAGTGACTGCTAATGCGGGCAGGATTTCCTTCTAGGGTGCTGAAACGTTTTGAAATTAGAAAGTGCAGATGCAGGCACCAACTCTGTGAATCTATTAAAAACCTCTAAATTGTACACTTTAAAAAGGTGAATGCCATGGTATATCATTTCACAAAAATTACAGTTAAAGAATAAAGGTGAGAGAGACTAAGGATAAATATTATTGACGCTAAACATACAAATTCAATTTAGTGATGCATTAGTAAAACAACCTACTTGATACAGTTTACCTATATACTTCAGGGCCTGTCTACTCACCAGGACGGCACAAATCAAATAGATAAATATGCTTCTCATTCAAAATTTATAGCAATTTTTAAGAAATTATATTGCATGCATAATATACACACATATAAAAGAAAGTTTCTATTTTATTTACATGAAAATTTTTATATTACCTTTGTAAATCTGTCAATAATTAGAGGCATGATTTAGAACCCCAGTTCAAACTTATTTCACAGGCATTTTTATATATTTGTTTTTATAGCAGTAATAATGGCTTTTGTTCTTTAATTTTACACTTTTATTTACTGAAATCATTTGTTCCCTCAAATACATTGAAAATATTTGTATTATAATTACCTTTTGACCATCATGCTCAAAAGTAGAAAACCAAGGTTCAGCAGTTTCCATAAGCTGTGAGAACATGGCACTAAAAATCAGAAAAATAATATAACGCTAATGTTAAATCTTCATTAAGGTAAAAATGGCATAAAAAATAAAAATAACAGAAAAGTTTTTGTACTTACTAGGCATCATGTTCCAGATATTCAGGATTCAGGAGAGTTTTCATTTCCTCACTTAAAACAGCAATACAAGCAATCAGAATGTGTAATTTTTTAATTGAAAAAGATGCAGAGGTTGCCTTATTCTATACTCATAAGCCAACTTTTATATAATGTGTAAATGAAAAAACATTAGCCTTTTTTAAATAAAAAGAGCAACTCCATTAACATATGAAATGTTTCTTTCTATAAAGATATGAAAACAAATTAGCTCCCTGTCTCTACCACAGTGATGTAACTATCTAATTATTCCAAACAACAAATGCTGAATTTGACAATACATTCTTTGAATGTGCCTGATCTAAAATCAATTGATTGCTCCACAATAATCTATCAGTTGTCCAAATGAAACAAGAAAATATGTAATTACTGGTCATATATCCCATATCAAAATATTGATTTATTTTCCTTCAATGGCTTCTAGTTTTAATATGTTTTAATATCAATCAGTGACCTCCTCCAAATCTACTCTAGTGCTGCTTTTATTTTATTAAGGACTGAAACTCTTAAAGAAGCATGCCCAATTCATTTAAAAGCTGTTTTTTAAAAAGCTACTTTCAATCATGTATACTCTTCTATGAAGTATAGTCTGCATATACATTTTTAAAAAGATAAAACTGGCATGAAAACAGAATCTCAATACTAACTAATCGCATCCTTATCATACTTTAGAGTAACTGAGGCAATGGCAATTAAGATATGGTTATTATAGTCAGATTCAAGAAATTCTCCAATACATTCAATGTAACTAGAAAAACTCCAAGGAGCTAGAAAAGACGAACCTACGAAATAGTAAACTAAAGTTGATTTGACGAATGCCCTAATGTATGTTCAGCAAAATGGACAGCTACTTCTGATTAATAAAGACTGTATGCACAGATGAAAGGCTACACTCGAACTCTGTCTCCTGCGCAGAGAGGGGCCGGCCTTCGAGCACTCCTGAGGGCTTAGAGTCCCGAGGCTCTCCTCTCCCAAGACGCCTCCTGGCTGCTTCTCTTGCCCACCTAGTCAGGGTATCTTAAATTAGAAAATAAATTCTAACAATCAGCCTAAGTTATATACAATTTCCGAAGTTATTTGCTGGAAATAATAATGTATCTAAAAACATGGGAATTCATTTGTGTTTCTTTAAACTGGGGTTCTTTGTGAAACTATTCTGTTTATGAACTGCATTGAGCTGGATCTGGGGAGGACAAAATGCGTCTCAGAATAGGTTCTCTTACAGCTTAGAGTGAGAGAACAGGTCACTGCAGAATGGAACGCATGAATATTAACTTAGCACTTCGCCACTGCAACAAAAGTCTCTTCCTGATCCGTTAGATATATGTCTTTCTTTAGTACAGCTCTGAGACTTGCAAAAATATTTAGAATTCCAAGTTTTCCCATAGCTGAAATAGGATTACAATTACTAAGTGGAATTAAAAATCAGCCACATGAACCACAAATGCTTGCAATTTACAAAATCTTCAATGCAAAACGTGTTGAGGTTAAAAAAAAAGATTACAGCAGGGTGGAAAAATAGATGGAGCTCCCATAAAAACTTGCCTTGGCTGCGCAGACTCACTGGCATGGAGAAAGGCCTGGTGGTCGCAGTGGAGGGTAAAGACGATAGGAGCCAGCAGCTCGTGCATCCCCTGAAACAGAGCCCGAGAAAGGAGGGGGCGGATGCTGAGAATTCACCAGTGGACAGAACAGGCTCAGCTAAAAGCCCTGCAGCTGACCCCCACCGCCAGCATCTCCATATTATACAAAGAAGCAAAAACGTAAAAAACTACAAAATGAGATTTAGTTTTAGAATTTGACTCCAATTCAACCATAGAACGTATTCTTCTTTAAAACATGGAGAGCAGCTCTCTTTTAAATAACACAACAAACAATAAATTGGCATGGTAGACAACCTTGCACCTGTCAGTTGCTTCAGAATCTGTACTCATAAATATGAATTTCATTTATGCAAATTATAATCATGAGCTACAGTGTAAAGATCTGTAGTAAGAAGGGCAACTAAGAACTGAAGACCTAAGGAAATTACATCCAATGTTTTCATTATATAATGGCTCAAAATTAGGATGTCTGTAGATTTAGGAAGAGCTGAAGTCAGCTAGCTGGAAACGTTGGATAATAAAAGAAATAATCTTTAGCAGGTATGAGTAAAAACAAAGTTTTCAAAGTAAAAATCTTAAAGATGTTTAAGCCAAGATGGCCATAATTTTTTTTTCCTATTTCAACTATAAGGTTACTTTTCAATTTATTTAGTGATTTCTCCAATATAATTTTCTTTGTCCTTATATTCTGTTCATCTATGGATTACATAAATAGACATAGAAACAAAAAGGTATTAATTACTAAGTTGCCTTTCAAAGGTTATTATAAAAATCCATTATTTATCCATTATTGTGAAAAAATAAGATATTTCAGATCAATTGAGATTTTTTTCCCCCTACTTAGGCATAAAAAGCATATTTTAGCAAGTTAAAAATAGATTATACTCTTTTCTGCCTTTTAAAGTGAGTCAATTACTATTTTCCTTTTATCTACGATGATCTCTTGCAAAAAGACAACACAAAACCCCGCCTTCTCAGGAAACAGCAATGAAATCTCCCCTCTTTGCTAATGGGGTTAAAGAAAGGCTCCGTGAGGGGCAGCCACAAGGCCCTCTGGGCCAGTCCAGCAGGTCTGTGCCACTAAGTAAGCCAGAGGAGACTCGGGCAGAGCTCCCGGACAAGCCACCACCAGCGCTGAGTCAGGAGGGCTCAGTGACATTCTTACAAAAAAACTTAGGGTCCACTGACATTACTTGTGATTTAGGACAAATTACCACACATCACTTTAATCCTGTTAGGTAAACATCACCTACTAAACAAATCTTGAAAAGACTGCTCCTTAGAAGAACTTGGTAGAGACCCAGAAAGAATGAAGAGTTGCTAAAGTGGTTTAAAAACATTATCAGGGGCTTATTATTCTGGAATAATCTCAAATTATTCCAAAAACCAAGTGACATACTTTTAATCGTGAAAGTAAAAGCTGCTTATTGTAGAGAACTACAGAAAAGCAAAAGCAAGCAAAGAAAAACACCAAAAAAGAAAGGGGGGAAGGCCAAAAAAGAAAGAAAAACTGTGATAGATATCCTTGAGGTAATCTTTTTGCTTATTTCTGGTGGTTTCCTTGGGATAAACTCCCTAGAAGTAAACTTTCTGGGTAAATGAGTTAAGATATTTGATAAATACAGTTAACCTGCCCTTTAGAAACAATCCCCTCACTTTAAGGCATAAAACTCCCCAACCATCTCATATACTCTCATCTTTATTTGTAGTGTTTTTAAAAAATCCCATCAAATTTTACAAATAGGTGTTTTAACTTACGTAAATGCTGGTGAGATTGAACACAAACGTTTTAGTGGCCATTTTTATTTAATGAATTGCCCATTTTCTCTTAATGAAGAGTTTCTTTTTCCCCAATGATTTGTAATATTTCTTCAGCAATTCACAAAATTAACCCTTGGTCATTTTTGTTACAAATACCTTCCCATGATTATAACTTGCCTTTTAATTTTGAAGATATCTCATGTCAAAGTGAAACTATATACTTTAAAAATGGTCAAATCAATAAATCATCTTTTATAATTTCCTTTGCTTTCATGCCAAAGAAACCATCATATTGAGATTAAGTTAAATTACAAGTTCTTTTCTTACAGTTAATTCCTTACCCATCTGGAATGTTTTTGCCCTGAAGAATAAATATGTATTTTCCTCTCCCTTAGAGTTAAATTAATTTACTGAGTAATCCTCATCTACTGAATAATCCATCTTTTCCCAAGAGTTCTGAAATGTCATCTTTATCACAAACTGAATTTTGGCTTTCCTTTTTTCTGGGTTTGTTTTTACTGGTATTCTACTACTTTATACATTCTTAACAAGAACTTTACTACTGTCACGATTTGAGCTGTAAAATACTCCACTTCCCCATATTTTCTATTCTTTTCTTCAAAACTATTTTGCCTATTCTAATAACTTGTATCATCCAAATGAAAATGTAATTTAGTTACAGAAAATGCTATACAAAAACTATTTTTTACTGTGATTGTATTAACTTGAATAAAATAGATTATTTCTAAGAATACCAGATTTTCCAGTCCAAAAATCTGTAAAACTGCATAGTTTCTATTAGGTTGATTACCAGGATTTAGTCGTGGGCGGCGGGGTCAGTGATCTCCGGACTGACGTTTCCCTTCAATATGTTGTCTGAAACTATTCATGGATGGTTTAGTAAGAAACGGTTCTTGCCTAAATGCATCATCCCATTTTCTTTGAATGTTCTCTCCCCTCTACTTTCTGTGACCTCTCTCCAGAGTCTCCATCTGCCCATACAGCATTTACCTCCATTTATTCCAAACACTGTCCGTTAACTACCTACGATGTATTGAGAACACTAACATGAACAGAGCGAGCACCTCCCAACCATCATGGAGCCTGTGATTGAGATAGCAAAACACATGATGAAATGAGTACGGAAGTGCTGCATGGTTATCAACTCGGCAAGTGATACACATCTGCACATATACCGAGGAAAACCCAGCTCCTACCATATGCTCAGCATATACAAGGTGCTCATTGCATAGTGACTGGGTGAATGAAACAGTTTCCACTAGAGCGGTACATCTTTCACTTATCAACACATTGGTAAAAGCTACAATATGATGAAAGATGGAAAAGAACTGTACTGAATTATACTTCAGTATTTCCCATCAATAAAAAAAATGCTTTCTGTACAATGGAAAACTGCAAAATACAGAATCCCCTGAATACCACTAAGACAGCCTTTTACACATTCAGGGTTCACATCCAACTAAACTAGGTACACTTTTCTAAAACAGACTTGGAAAAAATTGTTGATCTTACTCTCAATTCTAGACTAGTAAAATCTGATTACTAATTACAATTGATAACCAAATAGACATCTTTAAAAGAAATCTGGAAAGAACGATAATAAATTCAATGTGCTGTGAATCTGATAAGACGTAACAAAACAGCAGTGCATACATGCGCCCTCGGTACAACCTTGGTTCCCAGAGTCTGTGTTTCGTTCCTGTCCCCACCTCAGTGTTTCTGCTCACAGCCTTGTTCACTGCTGGGTCCTCAGCAGTCACTGCACTCCAAACTCATGTCAGTTGAAAATAAAGGTAACAAAGTTTTTCTCATCAACAGCCTGTAGGCTCACAAAATTGAACCTGTTCTTTTATCTGCCTGTGTTCATTTAGCCCACCAAGCAGTCTTTATTAAAGCTGAGGCATCAGGCAGTCAAAGTTCATTAATACCATTTATATAATCTCTGCAGTTTCAATTAACTCAGCAAGACATTCTACTACATGATAACAGTCTCATTAATTCAATAAAATCCCATAACTATTAACAATATGGTCGATGTTAAACGGGGTGTCACCTAGTACAAAATAATAGCTTTAACAGCTTGTGATGAAACTCAAGGTTTTTTCTTAAATTTTATCTGGCTAAATATCCAATCCTCTTAGAGTAAGGGATTATTTCTACATCTATAGGATCTATAGAATCTTTAACATGTACAGGGGGTAATTTTAAGTCTTAGAAGGCGATGCTCAGCAGTAAATTAATAACAGTTTCCTACTCAGCGACTGATAAGACTTTGTCTAAATCATCAAACGTGTCTGATCTGCCCCACTCCTCTTTAGCCTTCCTCACAAATGCACTGCGCTCTATGCCTTACAAATGATGGACTATGCAATCATGTGTGTTTTTTTCTTGTCCGTGAATCTAGTTGTTTCTTTCTCTAAAGAAAAAGGGGAAATAAATGTATAACTTGGCATAATTATATTCTAACCTCATTGGCTATCATCAAATTTTTCATCATGAGACACTCCCAGATATTTCAAAGAGGAGACAGAAGACTGAGGAGACAGGCTTGACAACAAAAGCCAACAAAATGAGACGAGAGAACAGAACAACAGAAATGAACCTGGATCACTGGTGAAGAGCCTACACCTGATGACTTCTAGAAAGTGTGTTAATAACATTCTTAGATTTTAAGTCATTCTGACCAGAATTTTCTTTTCTACAAGAGTGCTGCCCTCATCAACAAAGCTTTAAGATCAGAAGAGGCAAGAATATGGACTGTCTAAGAAGTGTTAGAGCTGAGACACAAATGAAGGAATCAGAGTGTAGATCCAGTGCTTGCAACCAGTAAGCTATGTTCTTTCTTGCCATTAAAATTACTATAAAGCTTTTGGGCACTAAATTTAAAATAACTGTGTACCGTTTTAAAAAACTGTATCTCTCACTTAGCCTATCACTGGAATGATAACACATTTATATATTAATTTAAGAAGAAGTAGTATCTTTACATAGCATCTTCCCACCTAAAAACATATTGTCACTTTTCTATTTATTCAACTCTACCTTTATATCCTTCTATAACATTTATAGTTTTCTTTACATAGCTTTTATTCTTATACTATTAAATTTATTCCTAGACATATTATAGTTTTGGTTGCCATTATGAACAGGATATATTTTTTCCATTTCCCATTCTAAAAGCTCATTATCACCATGTAATTAGTTAATATAAAATATATATTAGTAATATCAAAACTAAGATAAAATTAGTTCTTTTGCATATTTCCATGTATAGAATAACAAATATATTATTTAGGACAGCTGCAATATGACTTGGTTTATTATCTTTAAATAAATCAAGTTTATCTCAAATTATAAATAAACTACTCTCACCATGCAGGTGTTTTCTGTTATACTGAACTTGGGTGGTCATCAGTTGACATAACAACTTTGGATTGTTAGAGAATTTATTAATAGTTTGAATCCTCACTTAACATGCATTTTGAAGTATCTAACTTTGTATATTTTTATTGTAATCCCATTATCTTAAGTAGAAGCCTGGATACTTCTTTATATATTAAATAATTTACATTTCAAAATGAATACACATAATCCAATAAACTTCTTTAATTACGAGATGAATTAAACATCAAGATCCCAAGAATATCATATAAATTCCAGAATGTTTAAAGGAACTTTCTCAAGTTATATTATCATTAGATTTTAAAGAGTAAAAGGACACTTGATCACTTCCTACATGGCATGTCATGTATTTATAAATGCTGTACTTACAAACAATATTTATATATACAACTCTGAAAAGTTTTATTACTAGATTGCCTTCAAAGATGCTGTTTATAAACAAACTCCCAAAAGTTGAAAGAAAAGATTGAATGCCTTACAGAAGACAATTTGGCGGAATGTCTTATAATAAGGAAGCAGCATATGTGCGCCAGGGAGCTTACTTTTCTCACCGTGCAGGTGACAAGCAGCTCTTTGATTGCTTTACTATTATGATACAACTTTGGATACAATAAAGGCTACATTATTGCTCTATCATTTGTCAAGCTGTATAGAAAATTCTGAGTCAATGGATGCCACCTGTACGATATTTTCATTACCTGTTTATAAAGCAACTGCTCGTTTTCTCTAGCATAACAGAAAAGAACATCTGTAAGAATTTTTCTCACACTTTCTTGTTGGAAAAACTGCATTTCAGGAAACCTGAAAAAAGAAAACAGAGGATTGAAATTGAGTAGCACAATTCCAAAAATTACCCTCAAACTTTCATCTCTGAGAGGTGCCAAGGGTGGCTTTTGGTTTTAGGACAAGTCTGTATTTGCCATGCAACTTATGCCAGAGGTGGGACTGATGTGTTAAAGAAAAAAAGGATGAGAAAGGGGAGATTACTGTATCACAGAGGGAAGGGATACCTTCAACATCTAAACATTTCAAATGTCTTCATAGGCTTAAGATCATCACATGATGAATAAAGTTTTTAAGCAAAACGACTTACAGCCTGTTGGTGTGGGGGATTGCTTTGTTTAAATCCATTTGGTATAATGTGATTTTGTAAATACCAACTCTGTTAAAAAAATCATTCTTATTCTGATGCAAATATCAGAATTTAAATTATTATACATGACCACACCATTAGCTTTATTTGATTAAAACACCACTTTAAATGGAATGAGTTAGTCAGTACTGCTTAAATGATCTGTGGATCAAAAATTCTACCAGGTGCTCTGAGGTAATCAGAAATAAAAAGGGCACAGCATTCACCTGAAAGGAGCTTAAATAGCTGTTTATAATGAAAGATGTCAACAACCCAAAGAACAAATACAGAGGAATGCAATACACAAGGAATCTATCTGTCAGCCCTGTGGATACATGGCTTTCAAATCTGCAGATTCAACCAACCATGGATCAAAGATGTTAAGGAAAAACAAATTTTAGAAAGTTCCAAAAAGTAAAACTTGAATGTGCCTGCCAGCAACTATTTACACAGCATTTACACTGTATTAGGTATTATAAGAAATCTAGAGATGATTTATGTGCAGATAGGCATAGATTATATTTGTGAATATTACTGCATTTTATACAAAAGAGGTAAACAATCCATGGATTTTGGTATCTGTAGGAGTACTGGACTCCATCCCTCATGAATACCAAGAGATGATCCTATAAGGGAAGAATGAATGTCATCCAAAAATAATCAGTCAGGACATAATAAAAGTAATACACAGATATCCCTTGCATTCCTACACACTGACAGTGAAACATCAGAGAAGTTAAAGAAACAATCCCATTTACCATTGCAATGAAAAGAATAAAATACCTAGGGATAAACCACCTGAAGAGACAAAAGACCTATATGCAAAAAACTATAAGACACTGATGAAAGAAATCACATTGACACAAATAGATGGAGAGAGACACCACATTCTTGGACTGGAAGAATCAGTATTGTGAAAATGACTATACTACCCAAAGCAATCTACAGAGTCAATGCAATCCCTATCAAACTACCAGTGGCATTTTTCACAGAACTAGAACAAAAAGATGGTTGGATGACATCACCAACTCAATGGACATGAATTTGGGTAAATTCCGGGAGTTGGTGATGGACAGGGAGGCCTGGTGTGCTGCAGTCCATGGGGTCGCAAAGAGTCGGACATGACTGAGCCACTGAACTGAGAACAAAAAAGCTTACAATTTGGATGAAAAGACAAAAGATGCTGAATAGCCAAAGAAATCTTTTTTTCCCAAAGAAATCTTGACAAAGAAAAATGGAGCTGGAGGAGTCCAGCCGCCTGACTGCGGACTACACTGCAAAGCCACGGTCATCAAGACAGGACGGCACTGGCACGACGACAGAAATACAGACCAACGGAACAAGACAGGAGGCCCAGAGGTAAACTCACACGCCTCTGGGCACCTTGTATTTGACGAAGGAGGCAAGAATGTACAACGAAGAGAAGACAGCCTCTTCAATAAGTGGTGCTGGGAACACTGGACAGCTATGGGTAAAAGAATGGAACTAGAGGGCTTCCTAACACCATAGAGAAATAAGCAGTCAGATGGGTTCAATCACAAAAGGTCTGAGGATAATTTTTAGGAGAGGAGGAACACAGCTTATCTGTGGGAAAGGTGACCCCAACAGAAGGAAAGCCCCGAGGGCATGGAAGGCGAAGGGCGTGTCCCCGCTTCCGAGCACAGCCTGGGGTGCGCGACGGTGGGCACATGCTTCCGGGAGGAGCTGCGGCTGGGGCGGGACGAGGGGCGGAGCACAGGCGCCAGGCACACACAGGCGCTCCCAAGGCAGCGGGGCGGCTGGCGGAGAGCAACGGATGACTCCATTTCTGAAGGCAAAGGGAAACGAGGGAGTACTGGAGGAACTCTAATTGGGAAAAAGACTGCGAGAGGAGCGTTCAGAGGAAGGAGATAAGAGGGTATTACACTGAAGTGAAATGGAGAATCACAGGCCTGAGAAGAGCCTGTGTTCAGCTTTCTGCTGCATGGCTGCCGGCTGCAGGACTGGAGCAGACGGCTGCCTAAAGGCCTCATCTCTGAAACGGGGATGATCACACTGCACTTGGGCCCAGGTGAGACACCGCGACAGCACCAGGAGGCGGCCTGGCGGCGGGCGTCCAGCCCAGAGGCCCCCGCCGGCCTGAGGATGGGACACCGCGACAGCACCAGGAGGCGGCCTGGCGGCGGGCGTCCAGCCCAGAGGCCCCCGCCGGCCTGAGGATGGGACACCGTGACAGCACCAGGAGGCAGCCTGTCGGTGGGCGTCCAGCCCAGAGGCCCCCGCCGGCCTGAGGATGGGACACCGCGACAGCACCAGGAGGCGGCCTGTCGGTGGGCGTCCAGCCCAGAGGCCCCCGCCGGCCTGAGGATGGGACACCGCGACAGCACCAGGAGGCGGCCTGTCGGTGGGCGTCCAGCCCAGAGGCCCCCGCCGGCCTGAGGATGGGACACTGTGACAGCACCAGGAGGCGGCCTGTCGGTGGGCGTCCAGCCCAGAGACCACCGCCGGCCTGAGGATGGGACACCGCGACAGCACCAGGAGGCGGCCTGGCGGCGGGCGTCCAGCCCAGAGGCCCCCGCCGGCCTGAGGATGGGACACCGCGACAGCACCAGGAGGCGGCCTGTCGGTGGGCGTCCAGCCCAGAGACCACCGCCGGCCTGAGGATGGGACACCGCGACAGCACCAGGAGGCGGCCTGGCGGCGGGCGTCCAGCCCAGAGGCCCCCGCCGGCCTGAGGATGGGACACCGCGACAGCACCAGGAGGCGGTCTGGCGGCGGGCGTCCAGCCCAGAGGCCCCCGCCGGCCTGAGGATGGGACACCGCGACAGCACCAGGAGGCAGCCTGTCGGTGGGCGTCCAGCCCAGAGGCCCCCGCCGGCCTGAGGATGGGACACCGCGACAGCACCAGGAGGCGGCCTGTCGGTGGGCGTCCAGCCCAGAGGCCCCCGCCGGCCTGAGGATGGGACACCGTGACAGCACCAGGAGGCGGCCTGTCGGTGGGCGTCCAGCCCAGAGGCCCCCGCCGGCCTGAGGATGGGACACCGCGACAGCACCAGGAGGCGGCCTGTCGGTGGGCGTCCAGCCCAGAGACCACCGCCGGCCTGAGGATGGGACACCGCGACAGCACCAGGAGGCGGCCTGGCGGCGGGCGTCCAGCCCAGAGGCCCCCGCCGGCCTGAGGATGGGACACCGCGACAGCACCAGGAGGCGGACGCCCAGAGGCCCCCGCCGGCCTGAGGATGGGACACCGCGACAGCACCAGGAGGCGGCCTGTCGGTGGGCGTCCAGCCCAGAGGCCCCCGCCGGCCTGAGGATGGGACACCGCGACAGCACCAGGAGGCGGCCTGTCGGTGGGCGTCCAGCCCAGAGGCCCCCGCCGGCCTGAGGATGGGACACTGTGACAGCACCAGGAGGTGGCCTGGCGGCGGGCGTCCAGCCCAGAGACCACCGCCGGCCTGAGGATGGGACACCGCGACAGCACCAGGAGGCGGCCTGGCGGCGGGCGTCCAGCCCAGAGGCCCCCGCCGGCCTGAGGATGGGACACCGCGACAGCACCAGGAGGCGGCCTGTCGGTGGGCGTCCAGCCCAGAGACCACCGCCGGCCTGAGGATGGGACACCACGACAGCACCAGGAGGCGGCCTGGCGGCGGGCGTCCAGCCCAGAGGCCCCCGCCGGCCTGAGGATGGGACACCGCGACAGCACCAGGAGGCGGCCTGTCGGTGGGCGTCCAGCCCAGAGACTCTCCACTGCTGGCCTGAGGATGGGACACCGTGACAGCACCAGGAGGCGGCCTGTCGGTGGGCGTCCAGCCCAGAGACTCTCCACTGCTGGCCTGAGGATGGGACACCGTGACAGCACCAGGAGGCAGCCTGGCGGTGGGCGTCCAGCCCAGAGACCACCGCTGGCCTGAGGATGGGACACCGTGACAGCACCAGGAGGCAGCCTGTCGGTGGGCGTCCAGCCCAGAGACCACTGCCGGCCTGAGGATGGGACACCGCGACAGCACCAGGAGGCGGCCTGGCGGCGGGCGTCCAGCCCAGAGGCCCCCGCCGGCCTGAGGATGGGACACCGCGACAGCACCAGGAGGCGGCCTGTCGGTGGGCGTCCAGCCCAGAGACTCTCCACTGCTGGCCTGAGGATGGGACACCGTGACAGCACCAGGAGGCAGCCTGTCGGTGGGCGTCCAGCCCAGAGACCACCGCCGGCCTGAGGATGGGACACCGCGACAGCACCAGGAGGCGGCCTGTCGGTGGGCGTCCAGCCCAGAGACTCTCCACTGCTGGCCTGAGGATGGGACACCGCGACAGCACCAGGAGGCGGCCTGGCGGCGGGCGTCCAGCCCAGAGGCCCCCGCCGGCCTGAGGATGGGACACCGCGACAGCACCAGGAGGCGGCCTGTCGGTGGGCGTCCAGCCCAGAGACTCTCCACTGCTGGCCTGAGAATGGGACACCGCGACAGCACCAGGAGGCGGTCTGGCGGCGGGCGTCCAGCCCAGAGGCCACCGCTGGCCTGAGGATGGGCACTTTACATGCTGCACACGTGAACGAGGCGGCTGGGGAACCAGAAACTAAGAGCACGCAGGAGGCTGGAAACGGAAAGCACAGAGGCACGGGGCACATCGTGTAGACAGCAAAGTGTTCCTCCTGGGTCTCCAGAGCAGCAACTGTGGCTATTCCATTCACATTCTG